AGCAGACTTCTCAATGCAAACCCTCAAGGCAAGAAGAGCTTGGAGTGATGTATTTCAAGCCCTAAAAGAAAATAGCCTCCAAACTAGATTGATGTACCCTCCAAAATTATCTTTCAAAATTGATGGAGAAATAAGATACTTTCATGACAAAGAGCACCTTACAAACTTCATGAATACCAAACCAGCACTACAAAAAATTTTAGACCATATCCTAGGAAAAGACAATGAGGATCACAACCCCAGGAAGCCCAGCAGAATGAATCTGTCGGGCATGACAAGAAATTAAATCCAAAGGGGGAGAATCCAACAAACACAAAAAGTCATGACAATGATAAGTCAATATGTATGAGTTATAACCATCAATGTTAATGGTCTCAGTTCACCAATCAAAAGAAAGAGACTGGCAGAATGGGTCAAGAAGCAAGATCCAACAATATGCTGCATAGAAGAAACACACTTAATTCAAAGAAACTCATAGTCTGAAAGTTAAAGGATGGAAAACAATACTCCATGTGACAGGAACCAGAAAAAAAGCAGGAGTAGCTATCCTCTTTGCAGATCAAGTAGATCTCAAACCAAAATCTGAAACACTCTGGTCCCAAGAATTTCAGATAAGGGATACTCAACTGGAATGTACAAATCTATTGTGAACATGTGTTTTCATTCCTCTCAAGTAAAAACTTAAGAACAGGACTGTTGTTTATTAACAGTAATACAAGAAATTTCCATATTGTTTTCCAAAATGGTTTTATCATTTTACATTCACATTAGCAGTATGAGAAAGTTCTAATTGGTTCAGACCTGAGCTGACATTTGTTCTTTTAAAACTTTTAACTTCATCTCCCTAATGAGTGTATAATTCAATCTTTTGATAGTACTGATTAGTATTTTTCTGATTCTAGTGTTGCACACCTTTCCTTGTTCTGTATTGGCTATTTACCATCTTCTTTTGTCTAATTTTTAATTGGATTGTCTATTAATAAGCTGTAAGAGTTCTTTATATATTCTGGTCATAGGTTATATGCATTATAAATATGGTCAGTTTAAGGACTACTTTTCACTTTCTTAATGATGTCATTTAAAGTTCTAAATTTTGATGGAATCTCATTTATCAAAGTTTCTTTTATACATCATGTTTTTTATATCCTAGGAAATTCTTGCCTACCCTAAATTCATATACATTTTCCCTTGTAATTTCTTCTTCAAGTTTTATAGTTTTAGTCTTTCATATTTAGGTTCATAGATCCTTTCAAGTTATTTTTATATATATAAATAAAGTTTAGTTTAATTTTTTATATACGGATACCAGGTGTTCTAGTGCCATTTGCTGAAAACACTATCTTTTCCTCGGCTCTTGAATGGAGTTTATGTTCTATAAAATGTTAATGTTAAATAATCTTTCAAAATTCAGTGGACCATATATGTGTGGTTCTATTTTTAGATTCTCTGTTTTATTCCAATGATGTATATGTCTTTCCTTACATCAATACTAGTAGTCAACTGCCTTGACTACTATAGCTTTAGAGTAAGTCTTAAAATTAGGTACTAAATGTCTTCCAATAGTTTTTCTTTTTCTTTTTAGTTTTCTAGGTCCTTTGTACTCCTACATAACTTTTAAATTTCAATATCCAGTTCTTCCTTTATAGTAAGTATACATAGACCTGAATTTTTATATATACCTTGTGTTTTCTAATCCTGCTAAAATCAAATACAATCCTGCTAAATTCAAATACAAGTTCTAGGGGCTCCTTGAGATTTCTTAGTATTTTCTCTGTAGATGATCATTTCATCCACATATAAAGATTTTACTTCTACCTTGCCAATTGTATGCTAATTGTGTCTTTTTAGTGCCAGAGTATTTTGGTTTGGGCCTATGTTTCAAAGTTTAATGGACAGATGAAGAGTAGGCATATCTCCCCTTGTTCCCCACCTTAGGGAGAAAGCATTGTATCTTCTCCATTCATATAAGGCATTCTCACTGGAAGTATGGAGTACATGTCTTTGATCTGT